GAAACACCAAGGTCCTCTGTACTCATTGACACAAGTGCCTCAGCACGCACAGAAGACCCTCAGCCAGATGTGGAATGTCTTTAGGTCGGCTCCGTGCCCTTGCTGGGGAATGGCAGCTCATGAGTCTGGAATGCAGACTGTCCTGTGGCTGGATCTGGTGTATATCTCAAGGATGTAAGGCGTGTCCACCCTTTCTGTGGTGTGGCCCTTTCATCTGGGTGGGGTCTACAGGTATGAGCCTCTGAATCTACCTCTCCATCCATGCCCAGCACAGACTTCGCTCCCTCCATATTCACAACCCGTGACCTGAGGACATATCCACAGAGCCTGCCCACCCTACCCACCACTTCCAGTGCGGCCTAGCCCTGCCCAGACCTGCCTTCCTCAGCTTTCCTTTCCTAACGCTCTGTCCCTTACAAAGGCTCGAGTTTGCCCTGGAACTTAGAGTTGTGATGAACAGTGCCCCTGTCCCTAATACCTCCCTAGCTGCAAGGAATTACAGCCCCTGTCACACTCATAGAGAACAAGGATTCCAAAGGGCCTTGGGAGCCAGGTAAAGTAGGGCCAGCTGCAGTGTGGTGACCCTGGAGGCTGAGGCTACCCATCACTGGAGTCTGTGAGTTTGAAGCAAACCTGGACATCATATCAGAGAGCCATCTCAAACTAAATAAAAGGAGGGGGGCTGCTCTGGTGCTAGGCTTGGCTGCATGAAGCTCCTGAATCCCCCCCCACTGTGAGCTTGTGTTGCTTCCTATAACACAGTGTTTCCTTCCATTTTGCTGCCATCAGCCCCTGCCAAGGCTGGCCCACAGCAGGTGTCTAGTGAGACTCTAAGCACAGCTCTGAGGACAGTTTGCTGCACAAGAGGCAGGTGCACCTCAGCCTCCCACCCCAGTGGCCATCAGGGGTGGTCAGGACCACAATGCTCACAATTACGTTGCCATAACCAATGAGGTGACCATGGCTATGATGGCTCTATTGGTCACCCCTCAGGTGAGAAAAACAAATCATCAGAATCCCCAAGACACTTATCCCAGCTCAGAGTCATAGAGGGTTTCCCCGTCAATCTTATTTTTGACTGAAAAAAAAAATCACATGGCCGTCACATAGGATCTGAGGCACCCGGCTTGTGAACAACTGACTGAATCAGTAAGTACAGAAATGAGAGGGTAACCTTTCTCTCACAGCTTGGAGTCCTTGGCCTTCAGAGGCTCTTCCAGATCCAGCCACCACTGGTTAGACTGGAGGAAATAAGGCTTCCCCGAGGAAAAGGGAAAATCATTCAGGAAGATGTATCTCCTTGGAACCAGGACTTGATACACTTGAAGGATTGGAAGGTGGAGAGGTAGAAAGCCCAGTGTGCTAGCCTCTGGGTAGCCAGGCGTGTGGCTGGCCTACTGTGGCAGAGGCTGTGTTGAGTCTGGAGTGATCCCTGAGCTGAAGAGCAGCAGAGGAGTCATTAGCACTTGGGCAGGAGGTTGAGCAGTGCTGGGCCTGTGGGCTGTCAGGGCACCAAAGAGAGTACTAGGAAGTACTAAGCAGAGGGACAGATTTCAACAGCCGCAGGGTCCCTTCCCACCCAGTGTAGCCTGACCATTGCCCTGTGTCAGGTCAAGCCATGCCAGAGTTCTGGGGACCAGAAGGAATTAACTGTCACACCCCTAGGGCAGATTTTACACTTGGGTGGTCAAAGCATTTTCCCTAAGGGCTATTTTTTTTAAATAGTCAAAGGACCTAAGGGGCAGAAGTGACAGCAGAGGCCCCAGGGCATCTGAAGCCAAGAACCTAATGGCTCCCAGTCCAGCCTGGGCCTGATCCATGAGCCTCAGGCGAGGGTTTATGCTGGCGCCTGTGAAGCCGGGCTACTCAGAAGTGCTGAGCTGTGGAGAGGCCTCCTTTCTGGGCCAGGAGCCCAGACTGACCTTGGCCTGCCCCTCACATGCATCTAATCAAAACCAGTCTGTGCTTTGGGTGGGTGGGTAGGGGAGTCCAGAGATCTGGAGAGGAATTAGCCAGTCAGGTGACATGAGGAATCCATCTGCTTCCCAGGAGCCGAAGATTCAGAGGTCACCTGGGAGGCAAGGGGCTCTATCCGAGCACTTCCGGGCAGGCTCTGAGTTCTGAGCAGTTAAGGTTAATCGCTGTGACTGAGGCCATAGTGGGCACTTGTGACAACCACAGACTATGTGTGCCTCAGGAGGTAGGCTACCTGCCTGCCCAGCACCCTGTGTCCTGTCTTCCCTGAGGCAACGTGCAACTTTCCTCCAATTTGGAAGCATGGACAGTGCTGCTGTTTGCCCTGCAAGATGGGCTTCAAGAAGTTCCCCATGGGATTTTTAGATTGGCTGCACGGCCCAGATTTAAAAATGCAGAGATTCCACTCAAAATTCCCAAAAGGAAAAGGACCCTCTTTCATCCACAGACTGGGGATGAAGTACTACACCTGCATTTTGTTTTTTGTTTTTCTGAGACAGAGTTTCTCTGTATTGTTTTGGAGCCTATCCTGGAACTCGCTCGGTAGACCAGGCTGGTGTCGAACTCACAGAGACTACACCTGCATCTTGACCAAATCCGAATTCCTAGTTTTGTAAAAATCCAGGGGAGCTTTTGGGTCGGGGGGACTGTGCTCAAGGCTATTTATTGCCCAGTACCAGCCAGCACTCAAGCCTTTCACCTCCAGTCTCTAGAGTTCCTAAGTTCTCCTAAAAATTATCTGCTGCCGCCCCCGCCCCCAAGCGCCCGTATTCTATGACTACTCTCTTCAGGACGTACAAACCCCTCGCCACCCCCCCCCATCCCTACCATGACCGCGCACTCAGCTCCCCTGCTGGGCTCTTCTCCTTTGGCCTCTGCCACCCAGTCTTGGCTCCTGAGCTTCCAGGCTTTGTACACACGCTGCTCTTGAACTAACTGCCTCAGACTTCCACACGGCTCTTTTTCTTCGTTTGATTTCAGTACAGCCGTGGCTTCCACACGGAGGCCTTCAGCTGCGGCCACTGTCCCACCACCCCCGTTTCTTCTCTGACAGGCCTGATTACCTGAAACAGAAACACCACAGCGGGCACGCCTGGGCTCCAATCCCAACTTTGCTTCCCTAACATGGCCTCCTCCCTTGTCGGCGGAGCCACACCCAGTCTCCCGTGAACGCTCTGTGGTGGTGGCCTTCAGGCCCGTGCCCTGGCGGCAGCTCCCGGCTCACCCCAGGCTGCTACCTCCCCGCACCCAGCTCCCGTGGTGAACACAGAAGTTTGTAACCTCTCGGGCCGGCAGATCCCCAGAAGGCAGAATGGGCCAGCCACAGCTGTCCTCTGGCATCCTGCTGCGGGTCCTTCCTCCTCACACACTGGACTAGAGGCGTGGCTCCACCACAGCACGTGCTGGTGGAGACAAAAGCTCCTGGAGGGTGACGGGAAGCCACTCTCAGAAATTCCCTCAGCATAGGCAGGACCCAAGGCCTTGTCACATGCATTTCCTTTCTGGCTCACGAACCTGCTTCTTATGACCCCTGTGGGCTCAGCTCCTCATTTACATCTCCTGCCTCCACCTTGAACCACTCTGCCCAAGTGGCAACCAGAGCTAGGCAGTTTTTAGGAGCAAGATGGGCACCCGTCTTCCAGAGGCCACCTGTGTGTGGCGGCTCTAGTGTTTGCAGCAAGCGTCTAGGAAACATTGAGTTTGGCCTTCATGTCCTTCTGGGGACACTGTAGTGCCCAGGGGTCAGTGTACCAGACATGCCTGTGAGGAAATTGCCAAAATAAACCCAGGCAATCTAAGAATCTACAAGAATATTTCTGGTTTACTGCCCCAATATATTTCAAATGTATTTTTTGCTTTTTATTTTCCCAGGAATCAGTTTCTAGCAGAAACCACACACGGTGTCCCAGAATTCCATTCCACAATCTCTGGCAGCCCCACCGAACACCGGCAGGTCACACTGGTTTCTCCTTCTAGCTTCATACACGCATTGGCCCAATGCCATGGCCCCTATCATGCGAACGAGGAGGCTGAGACTTCAGGTATACAGAGAGCTTGCTGAAGAGCGGCCCCAGTCAGGGTTGGAGGAGCTGGGTTCATACCTGGGCTCAACGGCACGAGCCTTCTTTCTCCTTGTCTTTCACTGGCAAATCTCCAGCTCTCCTTCTTTGTCAAAGGCCAGGCTTGGAGAAGGGACAGCAGGCTGTTCTTTCTAACTTCACATCCCCAGCCTTGACTATTCAGGACAGCCTGGTCCCAGAAACCTTGGTTCTTGGCACTGTTTCTCTAGGCCTCTCTGCAGTCGTACACAGACCTGCTTTGGGATCTGGGGCTTGCACAGCAGCTGATGGTCCTATGTCTTTGTGACTGATGTTCACGTGGCCCAGGTCCCACACATGTGTTGTTGAGCCAGGTTTCATACATGTGTTGGCTTCTGACCAACTCTGCCCTACCTCACAGCCCTACTGTTGTAGGCCCAAGCTTCAAAAAGCTCCAGGATTGGACCATCAGTGCCCTGACTGAAGAACCTTCACTTGCTGGGCTTGGCTGGTGACTAGCTTTGTCTCAGTCCACTTCAGCCTGCTGAGGCACCCCATCCCACCTGGCCTCCAGGGGCAGCAAGGCTCTCAAGAGCAAGGTCCCTCAGCAGGTTGGTAACCCAGGAACATGCAGTGGATAATCACTGGTACTAGAGGCTCATGGAAACATAAGGTGACACCATTGTTTCTCAAAGGGTCTGGGGAACATGGGATCCCAGCCTTCCTGGCCACAGCCAGTCTCCCACAGAAAGGAAGACAACTTCTTTGGTTGTGACCCCACCACATACAGACAGGAGAAATACCAAGAGTTGGCAGAGGAAAGGAACCAGAAAGATTTCTACAAAGAACCAACACTGGTTGCACAGGCTAGCCACTGAGGTCACCACTGAACCCCCTACCCTGACCCTGAGGGATTTCACGTGTGGAGAGAGCCGCCTGTTTCCGCAGGGTTGGAAAGCACAGCTGGTCACCACAGGATGTACTTACCATTGGAGCGGTGTATGCAGGTGTGTTGGTTGTCACTGAGAAAAAAGCCACTGTGGCACTGACACTCATAGCTGCCCATGGCATTGACACAGATCTGCTGGCAGCCACCATTGTTGTCTTGACACTCATCCACATCTGTGAGAAGAGGGAGGAAGGGGAGAAGAGATGTTACACTGGGAGCTAGTGGGTCACAGACACAATCAATTCTCCATCAGTTAATGAAGGGTCTCCACAGAGATGCTATACAGTGGAGACACTGCATGGGGTCACTCCGTGGCATTGTGCCGTGGCGGTGCTGCACGAGGGTACTCCGTGTCATCACGCTTTGGAGATGCTGGGGTAGCCCATGGTACCATGCTATGACGGTGCTGCATGGGGGTACTCTGTGGCATCACGCTCTGGAGATGCTGGGGTAGCCCATGGTACCATGCTATGACGGTGCTGCATGGGGGTACTCCAGAGGTAGTTCATTGTACTCTTCTCCCCAGTATGACGGTGCAGACTGAAATGTCTCCCTAACACACAGAGCTCGGCTACCCACAGCCTGCCATTCCCCACTTCTTAACCCACCTCAGGTTTACAGCTGGAAGCCCAAGACCCTGGAGCCCTGAGTGGGAGGCTGGAGGCCAGGGCAGCCTGCGCCACCCTGAAGGTCTCATCTTGGCAGATTGATTCCAAACGCCTGGAGGGTGGAGGAAGATTTGAAAAGACCCTGACCTCTGGCTGCCAGAACTGCCGGGGAAGGCTGCCAAGAGGTCTTTCCCACTCTGCGGGAGGCACCGGCTCAGGGCCGAAGCTCACTTGTGACCAGAGACCGCTGGTACAAAGGGTGTGACTGGCTGAAAGGGTCTTTATGGAGCTCTGGTCCTGGGCAGAACAGCATGTTTCAATTACCAGAGTCATAACCCCCTACTCTGTCGGTTTGTTTAATGAAAGAAGGGCTTCTTAAACCTTAATGTTCCATGGCTGTATTGTCATTTTAATAGGCAAATACATAAAACCACAAAGCAATGTGAGCACGGAGCTACTGGCAGTGCCCAGCCAATCCCCAGCCTCCAACACACACACACACACACACACACACACACACACACACACACACACGCACGCACGCACGCACGCACGCACGCGCACGCACGCACGTACACACACACTTCCTTTTCACTCATATGTGCCCATACACTTTGGCACTGAAATTTTTCTATGCTTTTTAACACAGGCGTCTTTTGCTGTTGAGGCCAAAAGGACGTGAGGCAAGACGTAGAGGCAGGTGATGACCTGCACTGAACTGGGGACAGCTTGGCTCCACGGTGCTGTCAGCTGGGTCCTATTTAGGCTGGAGGACTGCAGACCACTTTACCACCCAGGAGACTGTGCGGCTGCCTTTGAGGCCCACAGCGTGCAGCATCATTATTCTCTGGCAAGCTCAAATGTCAGCCGTGTGGCTGTCAGAGGAGGGAAACAGAGCTCTCAACTCTAAAAGCCACCTAAGGTTCCTGCTCACATGTAAAGGTGGCCCTTGCTGAGAGGAACAGCGGGACCAGAGGCTGACCTGCGGGGTGTGGGGTGGGGGGCTGGGGGAGTTAGGGTGGGGGCATTACTAATTCTCTGAATAGCCTTCTCCACAGTCTCGTTGATGGCTCCCTGCTGGCCCAGTACCTTTGCTCAGTGAACCCCAAAGTGCACGGAGTGGCTACCTCCCCCTCCATGTTGCAGGAGGGTCTGCACTGGTCACCTCAGCAACAGGAAGCCAGCCTCCTGGGTGCTTACTGTGGACTAAGGGGCCTCACTAGAGCCTCAGCAGCTCATGTGATAGGGTGTATTACTAACTGCATTTCATCCGTGGGACTCTGACAGAGAGCTGAAGTGGCCTGGGTGACCCACACAGTAGGTCAGAGTGAAGAGGCAGAACCCCAGAATAAGAGCCCGCAGACACCTTGCTTGGCTGGCTGTGCCCACAATGTATTCAGACCAGTTACGAAGAACCCGGTCTCTCCTGAGCTTTAGTCTGGGATCAGCTTAAACACACACCCCTGAGACTCATAAGACATGATCTGCAAGCAATGTGGACAGAGAGTGATTCTGTCTCTGGGGTGAGTCCTGTCTCTGACCCAAGTGCACTGAGAGAGGTAGGCACCTGTGCCTCTGTCTTAGCACACAGCTGACGGTAAGTCCTGACCCTGGGATGCAGCTATGCCATCCATTACTGCCTCTCTTCTCCTGGCTCCCAGAATCCAGTCCAAGCCAAATCTCCGTTGCAAGACAAACGAAGAGGATATGGACCCTCCAATGCCAGTTTCATGGGGCAGAAATGCTGCCTTGGCCTGAGTGCCACCCATCTGCAGCCATCTGGCCTGGCCCAGCTCTGCACCTCCCCAAAAGCTAGGAACCAGGGCAGTTGACATAAGGCATCCACAGCCCCTCAGTGATCTGACAGGGTGGCTTGCTGTTGGGACAGGGCTGTTTATACTAGCAGGGAACAATGACTCGCCAACACTGATGAATAATTTGAAACAAATGCAGGGCCATGTAAACATGTCTTTCCCTTGCTCCCAAATGATAAAACCCCAAGATTAAGCAGGCAGGAGAAGAAAGCTGTCCCTCTGCACTCTTCTCCACCGTGTCCAAACAGGGCTCCACATCCTACCCGAGAGGGGTAGAAAGTCCTGGGGACACTGAATCCCTATACAGCCCGAGGCCACACTCATGTCTCTTCTATAGACACTCTGCATTTCAAGCTCTCAAACAAGACTCTCGGGGGCTGGGGAACGATCAGCTGGTGTAGTTAGGATCATGAGAAGTCTGCCCACCACCTAGGCCAGATGGAGGTCACCTGGCAGAGCACGGCGGAGAAACAGACCCTTGGCTGTTCCTCGGAGTCAGCCGGCACACTGTGACCCAGCACAGGGTATATTGTACTATGAGAGGCACCTTTAGGGTCAGAAGGGAGTCCATACCAGGCACTGGGTTCTCTGAGGTCTGCTCTGCCTTTCCCTCAGTGCGTGGGCACTACTGGGCCTTGTCTCCAGGAAGCGTGGCAGGGACTGCAGACTGTCCTCCAAGAAGCCTCTTGGAGCATTGGGTACAAGCAGGCTTTCCCCTCTCCCTATGGAACCAAGATTGTTCTTACTGATGAACTGTGTGTGTGGATTCTCCCCCCCAAAAAAACCAGAGACAACATGATGCTTGATGCTAGTTCCAGCCCCAGCTCAGACACTGCTTAGTAGATCCAGGAACCCCCCACCCACTCCACCCACCCCACCCCGGGGTTTGATTCCTATCACCTCTGGTTCTCAGAAGAGAAGAGAGATGGAAAGAGACTTTCTCCAAATGCAAAGGATACAGAGTGTTCTCCCGTTAGTGAGAATGACGTAGGGGGCCATGGGGCAGAGGGCATTTCCTTGTTCCCCTTAGCGGCGTCCTTCCAGGTCTCCCAAACGTGGAGGCCTTCCCTCTGGACTTCATTCCTCTGCCTGGACCACAGGCCCCACCGCGCCACTCGTGCCATGGGTGGGGATAAATAAGCCTGCATCTCCTTCACAAGAGGCAGGCTTGGGGTGGCAGGGCAGGTGGCCATACCTGACAGTCTAGGGTGAGCTCCTGGGGACACTATCACAAGTTACTTTCAGAAGGAGGCTAGCTGCTGCAGCAGAGTGCTGTCTTGGCTCACCAGGTTTGGTGGTTTGAAAGGAAATGCCCTCCCTCCATGCCACTAATAGGAGGTGTGGCCTTGTTGGAGTGGGTGTGGTCTTGTTGGAGGAAGTGTGTCACTGTGGAAGCCGGCTTTGAGGTCTTATAAATGCTGGTGTCTCAGACCACTTCCTATTGCCTAGAAGATGTAGAACGGTCAGCTACCTCTCCAGCACCATGTCTACCTGCATGCCACCATGTGACACCATGAAGACAATGAACTGACCCTCAGAAAATGTAAGCCACCCCAATGAAATGTTTTTCCTCTATGCATTGCCATGGTCATGGTGTCTCTCCACAGCAATAGAAACCCTAACTAAGACACCAGGCATCCAGAGGGACTTGGCCAGGCTCTCCAAGCCACTCTCCAGGAGTCTGCTTCTCCTAGTATTAGAATGTGCCCTATTCATATATACTTACATTCTTCTCCAAGGACAGCCTCATATCCTAGACCCAAGCCCTTGCCCTTCCGCACCCATAGACACTAAATACCGACTGAGAATGAATGCCACTTGGGTTTTAGATGAGCAAACTTCCAGGGGGAGGGGATGTAAACCTTTGGCTGTGAGCACCAGCAGATGTGTGGCCTGAGGCTGGAGGATCTGTGGGGCAGGGCCCATGAGGAAGGGACTGTGAGTACTAGAGCCAGAGGAGGGGTTCAGGAGCCCCCAAAGATAGTGACTGGCTAGGTCCTGCGTGCTGACTCAGGCAGCTGGGAAAGCTAAGCCCTGGAGGTGTGTCCTGAGCTGGGATCATGACTCTGCAAGGCTCTCAAAAAACATCAGTTCCGCTGGACCCCAATCCAGGCCAGCAGAGTCATACTCTTGGAGAAGTTTTCAGAGTAGCTTGACGAGCAGGGTGTCACTAACCCCTAAGGCACTGAACCTGTGTGTAGTGAGACCCAGGCTCCAGGGTCAGGAAATAGCTAGGGTGGCAGTGGGAACATATTGCTTCTGAATGCCGACACTCTCCCATCTTCCTTTATAACCACGGCGGGGCTTTCTAGAAGGCAGGGAACCCCTGCACGCTGGAACTAAGCTATGAAGCAGATTCTAGGAGGCTTTAGAGGAAAGCCTGGACCAGGTGGCAGGGCTAAGGACACAGAACAAAGAGCCCATTTTGACACCCCAGCTTGGCGAGGGATGCCGGGACCATCTGTGGGGTGAATAGTGCACTCCTGCATAGAGCCACCCCCCTTTTCTTTTGGCTAGCTGAGGCAACAGACAAATGGGGAGGAAGCTGGGCCTCAGGTGGTCCCCAAGGTGACCCACAGTAGGAATGCTGTTTGGTAACTACAGGAAGGACACTTTCTTCAGTCAAAGGCAGTATCCAGTGGCAAATGAGCGCGCCGGAACCTAGGAAGGCCTGAGTCCCCAGGCTCACGGAAGACCTCGCCTCATCTCAACCTGGCCTGAACCTCACTTGGCCATCCAGGCCCTGAGAAG